TAATTTTTGTATGTGGTAAAAGTACACCATATACAAATGATTTTATAGATCAAAAACCATGCGTAGATGGGCTCTTTAAGCAAATCAAAAGAAATACATCTTCAAACTGTTCTTCATGTGTAGTCTGAAGCACATTCAGTGACTGCTCTCACCCCATATATGAATCTCTGGTTAAATTGCTGCATGGCTCCCTGAAGCTGGCTACGCTGGTGCTGCCATTCCTCGTAGTTACGCACTGACTCCTGTGTGGGTCTTTGCCATGTAGTAGTTCGGGTTATGTGGTCAACATAATAAACTCTACCCATTGGATCCACTCTGCGCTCCCATCTGCATAAAAGGAGAGCAAAAAAAAAAAAAAAAAGTTGTTTATTTTGCCAAGGATTTCTTTCTAGATATTAAAAACTCCCACAGAGAACACATTACCACATAGTAAAAGTGATTATAAACAATGTGACATAGATAATTATATGCCACTGAATACACAATATTCAAACTACATATATATCTGTAGTATAAAAAAAATAAAGATGTTTGGCACCCTGAAGGCAAAGGCTCAGGCCTATCCCAGGTTGTTCTTTTCTCAATGTGATCCACATAGTATACCCGTCCATTCTGGTCAACTCTTTGCTCCCACCTGCAGAAGAAATACAAATTAAATAAACAGATTGAAAATAAGCTTAAATGAGGGGCCTATAAAACAAAATGCAGAAAGCATTGCTCTTTACCCTGGGGGCAAGGGACCATTGTTTATGGGAGCCACCCTGGGAATTGTTGCTGAGGCACTGGCCCCTTGTTTAGGAACACTTGCTGTCTGTGAGGAACTTGATGTTGCCGCCCTTGCATTTGATTCATTCTGCTGATCTGAACACCCACTAGCTGATGCCTGAGAGGAACCATCGGAAGCTGGGCCTTCGCTGAGTTCACTAGGAGAAGAACTGCTAGAAGAGGCTATGAAATGAGCAAGAACAAGAGTAGGGAACCTTTAAGTCTGTGAAAAAAAATGTTCTTTCTATTTTCAAAGGTGTATTTGTTTTCAAAAGCGTAGTGACTTTAATACTGACTGAAGTCAGTATTCAGTGCTTTAGCTAGTATATAAAAGAATAATGGTATATTAGACATGAGGGAGATTGAAATCACTCATGTGATGTATATGTAAGCCATTTAATCTTTGATGTCTTATAGTTTTCCTACATGGTGAAGCTGCTGGTTTCTGTCGCATAGGAGGGGGCGGTTGAGTAGGTCCAGAAGGAAGTGATGCAGTGGAGCCCCCTGGAGACCGTGAGGGAGAACTTGTACCATTGACAGCATGCACATTTGGTACAATGACCCATTCATCCAAGTCACTTGAAGGTGATGAGCCTCCGCTTGACCTACAAGTACAAAATACTTAATATTTGAGTAGTTTTCCAAGACCAAAGATTTAAAATGTTTATTTAATCTTACAAAACCAATGTCCAAATATTTTAATGCAATAGTATCTTAAGATCATTAATTAAAGATTTACTAGACCTGTCACCAGTATCTCCATTTTGCCGCGTATTTCCATTTGGAAGAGCAGCTAACAAGCCATAAAAACAAAAATAAAAAATAAAAATCAAAGTAAAAGACAAATGTTTAATGTGACATTCAAAAATGTATGTGTAACTCCCAAGTTCTCAAATGCTTGGGTGCAAATGTAGTCACTAATGCAGGTAGATATAAAGGTTACAAGTAATGCCAAGGTCTTGTCAGGGCACAGAACACTGATAAGCATTTACAACCTGGCAGCAGTTTCCACCTTGTTACCTCATTGCTATCAAATTCATTAATAATGACCAACATGGTAACAAGCTAAATTTATTCTGCAATTCTATTCATTTTCAAATTACAGATTATGAGCATTCCTGTTCTAAAATTGCAAATGTGTCCCACATAGTATACTGGGTTTGTGTGAGCGTGGTCTCTCACCTTGTTCTCTCTCTGCCAAGCCAAAGGTTTCTGGGTCTACCTGCATGCCATCCAGACAGACTGACAAGTCACCTACAAGATCCTGGGGGTCTCTGTCAGAGCACAGCTGCAGTGTCTGCACGACCTCACATACTTAAGGGGGACAGAATACATGTCAAGTTTTAAGCAGGCACTGTAATTACAAGACAAGAGAACACATACGATACCATAACACAAAAGAATAAAAGCAATTATTAACGATGTCCTGGTTTAATTAAAAACTGCTCCTACAAGCACATTGTTCTCCTAGTAACATTTATTACTAAAATAAACAAATACTGAAGAACAATTTCCTAAGGGGTCTCTGATTGTTATTAATCACCTGATTTTTAAAGCAACGTTTACTTTTTTAGCCCAAACTGTGACAGTGTGAAAAGAGCAGAGCTGAAAAACTCCAGTCACATGGAATGCCTCAAAAACCATGTGCAACAAGAATCTCATTCAGTGCTTTAAAAATCACAGACAAGTAGCTCTTACAGAGAATGTAGACCAGACTGTAATGTCACTGTAATGCTATGCACACTGACCAGGTCTGAGGTCCAATCACCACTTAGGAAAATGAACTTACATTTCATGTCATTGGCCTTAAGGGTCTTGCTGATTTCCAATGTAGCTAGACCCAATAGAATGTCTGACTTGAGTGTCTGATGGCTCCAAACACGAAATATCAGTTTGCTGAACGGCGTCACAATTCTGTAGAAAGGTGAGAAATTTTCAGCATACAGCACCAACCAATACGATACAACAGCAGAGAAATAATTGAGGTAATCTGTACAGCTTCTTAGCTTTTGTTTGAAACTCATCAAGCATTGATACTTTTTGTTTTGTTTTTCCCGCCTCCAAGTACAGAGGAAATCCAATTAATAAGTCTATGATGATTTTAATCCTCCATTATATCTTACATTACATTTACTGTCTACAATTGCAACATTCTGCTAAAATATGGACCTAAACAAATTTTCACAGTTGTACTCACACTGTGAGAGCCTGCTTCCATTTAGGGCTGTGTGTGTTGTTGCATTTCTCAGTCCTCTTTGACTGGCCATCCACTGCTATTTCAACATATGGACTTGGACCAAACCAGGTCTTTTTGTTTTCCTTCAGCTTAGCTGAAAGCACTGGAAAAATAAAAATTCTAGTCATGGAAAACCAAGATTTTAAAACCACTTCCTGTAGCCCCATGCATCCTGAGCTCAACAGCAGTCAGTTTATTTACAACCAGCTTTAAGGTATTTTTTAAGATCAAGGGATTCATCAAAATCTAGGTTTCCATGACAGATGTTAAGCATATTAATAATGATAAAAGAAAACCCCGTTAAGAATTTATCACAGTCCTCTACTGGTTTTTGTTAAATGATGAGCATACAAATTTTGCAAAAACAATAACTTACCAGTAACTTGCAACTGGGCCTTCATGGTTCATCCATAACATTAGAGCCTAAGTGGCAACAACAAATGAACCTCCAATCAATGTTATCACATATAACTTAATACTTAAAGAGTGAAAAATATAACCTGATTTATAGTCAACTGTGAGTAAGCAATCTAAATAAAACAAAGAGATACTTGAGACAGATTCTGATATCTGGGATCATTTTTTGTTGACTCAAAGATAACATGTTATCTCAATTATCACTCTGGTTAAATATTTAAATTGACTGTGGTTTACAATACACAAATAAACAAATTGAGCTAAACCCTCACTAGCTTCTTAGCACACAGGCCCAGGGAAATCATTCATAACTGCTGTCCAAATCTGTCACTCATCTGGTAGAGCTTGTAAATCAGCAAACCGCATTGCTATGTGTGCTAGACAGTCAATTTTAGTAATCGACAGTCAATTTTAGTAATCAAAACAGAGCCTGAACTAAATAATGGTTGGTCAGTATAAAAAAAAAAAAATCTATTGGCACACATATTGTTCAATGTTGAGGTTTGAGATATTGGTACTGAGAAACTGAGGTTGTATGGAGTAAAATGATTTCTGCTTGTTAGTTTGTGAGGTTTTATATATATAAACAGAAGGGAAACGAGACGGAGGATATCAGTCAGTAAACTGATATCTGATCTCGTTGCGCATTAGGCTCAATTTTCTCACAGGTTAGCAGTAATGTTAGCCAACAGAAGATTAGTTATTAAGACAGCGTTAAACACTAGACTCTAGTAGAGTTTCCGTTTAAGCTGTCACATCACCATCACTAGCCAGCTTGTAAACTGTTTCATAACTGTAACGAAGGCGGACAAGTTCAAGAACCTGGAACTTTGCACACCGATATCCCGATCAAGGCTTTAGCTAACCATGCATTAAACCCACGCTCGAAATGCTAACACCACTTTCACTCATTCGACTATTTAGAGGAGGAATAATCAAAGCTGTTCCTTGGAAGAACTCTAAGTGACCATACCTGATTAAAGAAGAAGATAAAGAGTGACAAAAACTTTAGTTTCAGCTATGTCTGAATGATGACAGGTAAGATAACAACATCAGCTCAGACCAGTGATCCGCTAGCTTGAACAAGTCCAGGTTTTCCGGTACAAGTTTTTCATAATAAAGCATTGGAGAAAAAGGCTTATTATCTATATAATCTGATTATCTATATAAGTTATAAGCAACATTAGGCGTCAGACCATGTTAATTTTTATTATAACGTTATACACATTAAAAACAAAAAGACAAAAATAAAACAGCACGATGCACCAGACTATATTTGTCTTGGTATTTTTGTCCCCCAGCTTTCTGCTATTATAAGTCTGGACTAGAGTAGTTTTGTCATTTGATTTCTGTCTGCAGTATTAGTAGATGTACCCTATAGGCAAGCTTTTATTTTGAAGGGATGTTGAAGCTGCTGACATCGCGATAAAAAAAGATAAAACAATCGTATAATTTAACAAGATACGTTTATGTTCCTTTAAATTTTACATTGTTTGGCAGTACATACTAAAATATATGGTTTTATTTATGAAATTATTCAGACATTTACTCGATGGCCAAAGTGTGGACACGCCCACGTGTGACATCCGTCTTTTTAGTCCCGTGACACGGCTGTAATTGTTAGCAGTCAGCAAGAAACGCCGCGGTGTGGTAAATGATATGTTATTTGTTCTATGAGCAGTCACTTTCGCCATTAATATAACGTCTGCTGAAGCACGATGTTATCTCGTCTATTGAAGGAGCACCAGGCGAAGCAAAATGAGCGGAAGGAGCTGCAGGGTGTGTGATAACAAAAATCGATAGTGATAGCCGCCAGTGCTAACCATTGCTAAAAAACAAAGCTCTCTTTGACTTAGGATGTCCCAGCACCACACAGTGCTACAGTCCGGTGTTGATTGATTGTAGTAATGTCTTTTTTCTCTCACAGAGAAACGCAGACGTGAAGCAATTGCTGCAGCCACTTGTTTGACAGAAGCCCTGGTAGACCACCTCAACGTTGGGTATGACGGTGATTCCTTTCTTTTTTCTTTTTGCTTATTTCTTGCTGTTCATTTTGGTTTGGTAGTATTTAAGGAATGCTCAGTCATCCAGGTAAGTAAATCTCCAAAAGTTGATTCTGTTGATCTGGACGTAGCGTTTTTAGTGGGAGTAACGTTTCGCCACTCTTCCAAGTGACTTCTTCAGTCTCAGTTTACTGCAGGTTTCCCCAATCGTATAAACAGTACATTTGCATAATGATCGAAACTAACACCACTGAAGGAACAATGCGCTGGGAGGTCAGTTCCATTGATCAACAACCACTGATCAAAGCCCATTGATCAATGGCCATGAGTACCATTCACATAGAGTTGGGGAATGGCTGCAATCACAGCACTGTAAGATGCCAAGAGATGTACCCTTAGACCCCCTTCTCGATTCAGAGATGGTCTTTGCCTTTTCACGTAAATGGCCTCCTTGACTACGCGCTCAAACCAGCGTTCCTCCCTGTCCAGGATGTGTACATCCTCATCATTGACACTACAGGCCACTAGACTGTAGTGTCTAGTAAATAGACTGCGGAGGTAGCGTTTCTGTGTTGTGCCATCCGCTTCGCCTGAGGTTGTTTGGTTTCCCCGATGTATAAGTCCTGGCAATCCTCCTGGCACTTAACAGCGTACACTATGTTACTCTTGTTTGCGTCGGGCGACCTGATCCTTGGGGTGGACCAATTTTTGTCACATCGTGTTTTGGGGTTTAAAAGCCACAGGAGACACGGTGTTTAGCAAAAATGTGTCTTGATAATCCTGAAACATACAGAATCCCTACAGGTTTTTGCTTAGGCCAAAACGCGCTGCGCCAAAAATTGCTGCGCCAAAAATTGGTCCACCCCCAGGATCGGGTCCAAAACTCATCCAGGTTTCGTCACTTGGATGAGTGACAAAACGTTTCTCCCCCTGAAAATGCTATGTTCAGATGAACAGAATCAACCTTTGGAGGTCCCACAGAAAGGTACATTTCACGCAATCTCTCTGGAATATTGGACATCTGTGTCCTGCACCAATTGTATTATTTACTTTTAAGTGTTGCTCTGAAAGCTGTACTTGTTTCAGCACCAGTAATTATTGATTTTCTTTTTTACATTGCAAATTTAGTCAATGGAAAGTAAGCAAGTTGTGAAAATCTCTGAGCCCAATATTAACTTTCCACATGTTGTGTTGTTTACAACCAGTATTCAAAATCTAAAGATATTTAATGTAAAATGACAATAAAGTTAGAGAATATGTTACATTAAATATTTTTTTGCTTATTTAAAGTCAAGTGTAAACAATTTTAAAAGTATCTTGATTTTAGTGTGATGTTAATAGCTAGTAATTATTTATTATTTGTATCCCACTAATTAATAATAATTTTTCGACTGATTACTTCGTATATGGTATGTCAGTGCCAGGCTGACAAAAGGCTTTCACACACATCAGATTTTAGTCATACTGTTTCTCCAGGCTTTCACATTACTGACACCTTCTTCGGACCAAATTAATCAAACAGTTTATTCTTAACAGGATGGACATCGCCTAATATTTAACACAGCCAAAAACAGTATGCTGAAATTATTAACAATGTATTGTGAAAGATGTGATGAAACCAGGACAATCAGCTTAAGAGACTCAGAGTGGGATGCAAAGACCATTATTGTTGTGCTGCTCCTGCATGAAAAAGATTAGCCACCAGACCAAAATCCTTCTGGGACAAAGAGAGATTTTTACTATATTGAGTAACAGTGTATGGTTTCAGTGTATTGAAATTGAAGCGGCTATATGTATTATAATGCCCTAAACCTCATTATTTTGTTCTGTTTCATTTTAGAGTTGCACAGGCATATGTAAACCAGCGAAAGCTTGACCATGAGGTTAAGACTCTCCAAGTGCAGGCAAGCCAGTTCTCCAAACAAACTGCTCAGTGGATCAGTATGGTGGAGGGTTTCAATCAAGCATTAAAGGTAGGTTAAAAGGAAATGGCTGTCGTCTGTCATCATCTCAAATCTACCATATCAGTCTTGAACACAGTCATGTTGCAAAGTGATTTTGCAGCAAACATCAGCATTTTTTCAAGGTCAGTTAGGATGAAAATGTTAAAAGAACGTTATGATATTTAATAATATTGTACTTGTAATGATAATTTGTTTGACATGTTTTTTTGTCAGTATAATTTTTATCCAAAAATTCCCTAAAAGACATCCCCTTAAGTGTGTCAGCAGGCTAACTTCTAGCTGCAGTTCTTTGTGCAAGTGTGAGGAGTAAAACACATTAAAACTGTAACACTAGACACTGGAGCAAATAAAGTACTATTGTAACCTTGTGTTAAATAACGTCAGGAGTACATACAAACAAAACTGTTTATGCCCAGAAGACAGTGGAGATTATTGTGGACTTCAGGAAGCACACAGCCCCACTCCCCCCCATCATCCTGACTGACACCCCCATCACCTCTGTGGACTCATTCCGCTTCCTGGGTACCACCATCACCAGGACCTGAAGTGGGAGCCCACCATCACCTCCGTCATCAAGAAAGCCCAGCAGAGGATGTACTTCCTGAGGCAGCTGAAGAAATTCAACCTGCCAACACGGACGATGATGCAGTTCTACACTGCAATCATCGAGTCCATCCTCACCTCCTCCATCACCGTGTGGTACGCTGGAGCCACTATCAGGGACAAACAGAGACTGCAGCGTGTTGTGCGCTCTGCTGAGAAGGTGATTGGCTGTAGACTCCCATCTCTGCAGGACCTGTACACCTCCAGGACATTGCGGCGTGCAGCTCGGATCTCAGCTGACCCTTCTCACCCTGGACACAGTCTGTTTGACCTGCTCCCCTCATGCAGGAGGCTCCGGTCCATTCGCACCAGAACCTCTCGCCATAAGAACAGTTTCTTCCCCTCTGCTGTTGGACACATGAACAATAACCATATGACTGTTCCCGCCACTAACACATGACCCTACGCTGTGTTCACTGCATCATTCCATGTTTGGCACTGATCACCACCTGCACTCATGTATATATCTTTCAACGTAGCACTCTTAATTCTTATTCTCATGCATATATCTCATGTATAGCTCATGCACATATCTTTCTACGTAGCACTTTTAATTCTTATCCCTACTTTTATTTTTTCATGTCTATTTAAGTGCTATTTATGACACTATGTTTGCACTGAAGCACCGCAGCAATTTCCTAATGTTGTAAACCTGCTCAACATTTGGCAATAAACCCCTTTCTGATTCTGATTCTGATCTTCCAAAGATCTGCGCTCTCTGTTGTGCACTGGCAGTTCCAGGTCAACACATCGCACTTGTGTAAAATACAAACTGGATCATGATTGGCTTAGGAGTTATTTGTGACATCACCAGGAATTGCTTGTACAAACACATTTTAATTAGGGACTTAATCTGAGCTCAACACACTTTTCCCCTTTTGAAAAAGAATCCAAAAACACATTTTGGGAATTAAAGACGGCTGATAGTGGGTTATATTTGTACATTAACAAGGTTGTGAATACTAATTTTTCATGCTCTCATTTAAACAGGAAATTGGAGATGTAGAAAACTGGGCACGCAGTATTGAGATGGACATGAGGACAATAGCAACAGCGCTGGAGTATGTACACAAGGGTCAGCTTCAGTCTGCTTGCTCATAAACCATGAACATGTACGTGCTGGACATTTGCAAGTGAAACTGAATACACTGGAATAACATTTAAATCTACTTGAGTTGACCCCTATCAGCGAATATGTGTTTTGCCTTTGTCAGCAGTTTATTTGCTTGTCTGCACTCCCCTCTAAGTTTGCCAGGGCAGCTCAGATGAACATCAGAATTCTGCTGCTTTAACAATTAAATGCACATGTGCAGAAATGTTATGTTGTTGTGTTAGCAGCAGTGTTGGAGGTGCTTACAGATCAAGGTTGCAACAACCTAAATACAGTAGATAAATATTTAGAATAGAATAGTTCATGTACAAATGGGGGGGAGGGGGGGTGCAAAGAGTCACCTGTGGCCCTACTTTTTCTGAAACAGGAAATCTGGCGATGGCCTCCAGGGTGGAAGGGAATCATTTTGGGGCAGTGTTAATTACCCTTTGCATAGCCTTCCTATTCTCAGTTGTGGTCCTTGCGTACCTGATGAGTGGTAGAAGGCCAGCAGCAGCTCCCGGTCCTGGTTATTCTTCCTCAGGACATAGTCGTGTGCACACGGCATACATACAGTAGGGGCTAAGAACACAGCCTGCAGGGATCTGTCACTCCATGTGTGGAGTGACAGTAGGCCATAGAGGTGGGGGCCGAGTCAGACAAATGGTTCACTAATGCCTGATTGTTGAATAAAAGAGGAAAAAGTACATTGTTGTAAAGATTCAGTTTACCCCTTTGCAATAGGTTAAAGAAGCCACGACATATAAACACCGGTTACCTTTATTTAGTATATCCAAAAAGCATTTGTTTTATGGCTTTCTTTTCTGTGGCTGATACCTGAACGATGGATGGATTTCAGATGTTGTTAATGATGGAAAATATTTTAATAAAGTTAAAATCTTCACTTGTGTTTTCTTCTTATAAAAATGTGTTAATTGAACAGTTGTTACATATAAAGAAATTGGGAACAAGGAAATGTGAATATTTGTATAAAGTACCTCATTTAAGAAAGAAAGCCTGTAGGCTGCTTTTTAAGGAGATACGTTGTCAGGAGGTTCATATGCACAGCAGATGTCAGTGTTGGGTAAGCACAGATTAAATCTTTACAACACAACTGGAGAACAAGTGAGAGTTAAAGGCTGTGAGTGTTGCAAGTGGGCAGTTTCCTTCAAAATTACTTCAGGATCAAGAATTGTTTTTTGTTTTTGTTTTTTTGGCTTCCCAAAGAGACTTAGCATTTATGGACTTGCAACTATTGCAACAAGTTTTGATATAAATATAGTAAGTGGATAAATACCTGCCTGGCTAAGGTGCTTGGACAGTTTGTGGAATGTGTGACGTGTCAGTGAGTGTGGCTTGTGAGTTCACTAATCGTATTACAGGCAAGAAATTTACCACACGAGACTGCTCTTAATCTAATTTTAATGTAAAAAAAAAAAAAGGTTGGATGTATTTGTTCTTTTTCCACCGGCCCAAAAATTACGCAGGTCATAGAGACTGTTAAAAGAGTACTGTATGAGCTTTATTACTGATATAACTGTCAGGTGAACTGAGGCAGTCACAGATTGTACTCATGCTTGGTCCTACAGGATTATCACAATTTGTATAAATACTCTTAAAACCAAAGTATTCATGCCGCTATAACTAGGAACCTTCAGGCTTTGAAATATATACTGTATACACTTTGTGGTGCACCATTTGAAAGGACCTGACGTAACATGTTAAATGTCTTTAAGAAGATCTTGAAATCCAAGTGCACGTCACAGAAAAGGGTTTTTGTTTGTTTCGTTCCCACCACCTTTTTTTTAAACACACCAACCAAATGGTTACGCGTTGCTGGATTACCAGTAGCGGGCTAGTCTAAAGGGATAAACAACAGGGATAAAGCTTCTGTCCAACCAGCTGAACTAAGACAGGAGAATAACCAGAAAGGGAACGGGAAGAGGAGCGACAACGTGTGGAGCGCCATCACTTCCAAAAGATAAAAGGTAGGACAACACAGTTTTGTGTTTCACTCACCACTTCAGTTTAATCAAGAAGTAATTAGTTTAAATGTGAATATTAAAAACTCAAGATATGCAGAAATGGACTTTTGAGTTTTATCTGATTATAAATTTACACTGATTGAGATTTAAACAGTTATTAGCAAATTTAGTAACCACATGTCATAAAAAACAAGAAAACATTTTAGAAATCTGTCAAAACCAGTTAAAAACAAAAAGATATGTTGTCATTTGCTATTAGGCTAATAGCAAACTGATTTCATGGTTTTGTACCCAAATTTGAAATGGAACACTAGAGAAGTCCCTGAGAAGTCACAAATTAATCAAGCATTTAGCATTCAGTTGGAAAATTACTGTAATTTGGCATCAAAAATAATAATGTGGTTTATTTTTTTTTTCTGCTTTTTTTTGTAAAACAGCAAATTTGAACATTTGTGGTTAACCAAAATAATTATATTCTAGCATTAAAAATATTACGGTGAAAGAGCTTGTACACACTGGTGGAATAACGATTACAGAAACATAAGAAATCAATTTGGTAATTACCAATATTGTTAATTTAGGGCAGCTGTAGCATAAACCTTGCACTGACATCTCTCTCTTCTGAGAGAGTGTTCTGGTTCAGAAATGTAATTATAACTCTACTTGCTAACTTAATTTATCCCAAATGTAACAAGATTTTAACAAGTATTAGTTTTTCCACACAATAAATATTTTGGATACCTTAAGCCACAGAAGTTTTTTTGTTACAATAATAAGCCTGCAGACTAATTAGTTTTCAGCAATCCCAAGCAGATCCGTTACGGGTATTAAATTATGCTTCAAAAACATGTCTTCGTCCCCCCACTCACTGGGTTTTACTCCATCACAAATGCCTTTTCTTTCTTCCTTAAGAGTATTATCCAAAGATTTATCACATGCCCAGAGCAGCCAAAGCAGTTTTGCATTAGGGCACCCTTCAATTATGGCTCTCACTGAACAAATTCATTGTGTCAAATAGCTGTCAAAAGATGAAATAAACAATATAAGCTTCAATAAAAACCTAATTATTGTGGAATGAGACAAAATCGGTTTTGCAACATTCCTGAAACGTATCAATGTATTTCTGATTTACATTCTCTTCTCTGAAAACTGTATTTGAGAGCTTCCCATGTCAGTACATACTAACATGTTATTTCAGCAGGCATCAAGTTCTCACAGTGACTGAAAACTACTTCTAGTCCTGAAGACATCATGGATACACAGTTTGTGTATGACCTTTTAGGGTAAGAAATACCAAAACTAAACTTTGACTTCTTGATTTCTTTGCTACCTGTAGTCATACCTTACCATACTCACGGATGCAGATGTGACAGTCAATACTTAACATTCTTATTACATATTATTTGATCTCTTTTAGGGAAAATGCTTGGTTATACATTTCTGCTACCTTCATTGTGTTGTGGATTGTCGGTGGCTCTACAGAGACAGCTTGGAGATTGAGGATTTCAAAAATAAGTATGTCTTTGTTACTGGCTGTGACACGGGGTTTGGAAACCTGCTGTGTAAGAAACTGGATCGTAAAGGTTTCCGTGTACTAGCTGGCTGTCTCACAGAAAAGGGAGCTGATGATCTGAAAGAGTGCAGGGCCTTATCTGAGCTGTCCTGCGATGTGACCAGTCAGGATAGCATTGAAAAAGCAATGGAGTGGACCAAGCAAGAGGTTGGCGATAAGGGTGAGAGATGATTTTCCTACAGTTACATATACGATTGTAGACATTATTAGATCACACAAGGCAAGCCTGTAAACAAACACAGCATCATGTTTTCCTTGTTTTGTCTTTTTATTTGCTTTGTAGGACTTTGGGTCTTGTGAACAATGTGGACGTTCATTACCCATGGGTCCATCCGAGTGGATGAAAGTGGAGGATTTCCACAGCACACTGAAAGTAAACTGAATGGAGTGATTGCCATGACAATGACCTTCCTGCCCCTCATCAAACAGGCTCGTGGTCGTATTGTAAATGTAGCATCAGTGCTTGGTAGAGTGGCAGCAATGGTGGTGGATACTGCATTTCCAAGTTTGCAGTAGAATCTTTCTCTGACTGCCTCAGGTAAACTCATTTAAAGGGCTGCTGCAACCATATATATTAGCTTAGGACCCAGTTGGTACTCGTTCTTATTTAGAAGACAGACGTGTATCATAATTAGAAAGTTAGCATGGGTGATACATTTTATTACATTTTCAGTGATAAAAAGACCATCAGTAAATTACAGAGTGCACTAAAATGCACACCATCTAACCAATTGTACAAATGACCTAATTTGGCACAGCGTGCCTCAGAAGGATTTTTGGTTCTGAGGCCAAACGGGGGGAATGTTTGTTCCCTCACTGACTCACATAGCTACATTAACTCTTTTTTCTGCCAGGGTAGTTGATTATGTTTTCATTAATGACAATGAAAAGCTTGCAGCCTGTGTTATAGAGTAGCACTGAAACATCTAAATCTATAAACCTGAATATTAGTTGGTAAGTGGAAACTCAAGACTTTACTAATGTTCAGTAGGTCATTCAACAGTATTTGATAGTAATAGAATAACATGTATCAGTTATAAACAATTGATAAGAACTCATTTGCACTCTCAGAAATCAAGAAAGCCCGCACTGTAAGGGAATACTAATGACAAGTAGAGATTTTTAGACTCATTTTTTGGCTTAAATGCAGATGGCCAATCCATTTGGCCATTGATTGGCCTTTCTACCAATCCAATATTTTTATTAATATTCACAAATAAATTGTAAGCAGATATAAAGCAGGAATGTGTGAATGGTGACCTGTTAGAAGTGGTGCTCAAAATTAGATGAGGTTTTGTTATTGCTATGAAAAAGCACACACAGAGCATATCTGGTTTCAGGAGAGACATCCACTACTTTGGATTAAGGTATGTATCGTTGAGCCTGGGTTTTTCAAGACTGCAGTAACGAGCCTCGAACCCATTGAGAGGGAGCTCCATCGCCTGTGGAACCAACTCAGCCCTGAAGTAAAGGCCAGCTATGGAGACAAATACCTTGATAATGTAAGTACAATGGGCGTGGACCATCTGAAGCATTTTTATTGATGCAGAATAGGTCAATTGTGTCACATTCTTACTGATTTTTTTTGACTCGTTTTTGTTTGTTTGTTTGTTTTTTGCTTTGATACACTAGGAATGAAATGTAACTGTTAATTTTAGATATA